TTGATTTTATTCTATATAGCATAAGAGAGTGATCTCGGCTTTTTTGGCTTATTAGATCTGGGCCTGGATAGATCAGTTGGAAGAGCACTCGCCTGGCAAGCTGAAGGTCCTAGGTTCGAATCCTAGCCCGTTACTTTTCTCGCCGAAAAATAAAGCCAACGACACACGATACTATTTTTCCTACTGGATTCCTTACGAGAGCCAACCAGGATTCAGCTTTGAGTCACCTGATCGAAAACTCTGCGTCCTGATTGACTCTCGTAAGCAATCCAGTAGGAAAAATAGTATCGTGTGCCGTTGGCTTAAGTGGCGTGTCTTATTGTTAGTGCCTACCTCCCCGAAGATACATTCCTATTCATTATGAAATGTAAAAATTACATTTTTTAAATTCATTTTGTCATTAAAAATATGTTAAGTTTACACAAAATTTATGTTAAATGATTTTGAGATTTGCATTTATTTTGTGTTAAAATATTAACAGATTATTAGTGTGATCCTTTAACATATCCATATTATGTTAAATTAACACAAACATTTGTGTGGACCGTTTGGGACATGTGATATCTGTTAAATTTAACACAAATTTTTCAACTGTGTAGAATTAAGAGGATGGAACAAAATAGATTCTAGAGCTCGACGGTATGCAATACAAAATTTTCTAAATTTACTCGAGGTACTCAGTTTTATAACTGGGATTCCCGAAAGCCAAGCTGTGAGTGAAAAGATATTATGTATATTTTTAGTAAAAATGTAGTAATAATTTTTAAAAGTTATATTACATATATAAATATCGGTATTATTTATCACAAAAGTCTAAAACAGGACATTAATTTGCTGAATGTAACGAGCCACGTTTCGCTGAAGCTACATATATATTCTGGTACATGAGGCAAGTGAAAAGTACAAAGCTTGACGCATGTTCCTTGATCTAAGGTAAGAGAAATCGATAACGACGGGAAAAAATGATTTTTCCCCGGATATCGCGTGGACGCAACGGTCCATATCAAATGTTATCACAGATGTAACCTGCCCGATAAGAGTATTCACCGATGGGAGACGACGCACGGGTGAAAGTAAAGTAAATCGACGTTTTCAAAGACGTCGAGAACGTCGTCGCGAAAGGCGTTGTTTGAGCGAGATTGGAAAGATCCTTCTCGAGGATGCCGGAGGGCGCTCCACTTCCTGGTTCGTTCGATCTTGTTCAACCGGTTACTTTTAGTCAGTCCAATTTGGACTTTCGCGAAAATCATGCGTTGTCAAATATGTTTCAGGGACTCTCTTTTGTCGGCCGGCAGCTTAGCTAATGATTACTTAATAATCGTTGAACTCGCTGGAAGGGCAGTTCGCAGAAACTCGCTCGTTTCCTCATAATGTCCGGCAAAGGATACACGATAGCCCGATATCTATCGCACTACCGGGTGATGGTGGCTCAGCCTGTCACATTCGCCGTTTTATCGAACGGCATTCTATACATTTTCACTGCACCGCCGAGGCGTGCACTATCACTTCCAGTTGCCTACATATAAGAGCAGAGAAATGTTAAACTAGTTTCCGCAATTTTTCCGGTGGCCGGGTATAAAGGAGAAATTCAATGTCGGCCGATGTGTCATTAAAGGTGGAACCGTCGCGTCGGTCTGATCTGCGAAATTGCTAGTGCGGACGAGGTGCCGGATGAGATAGCGATTAAACGACGGAAGAAAGCACAGCTTCGTAGCCATCCGACGGCGATAGGTGAATTGCAGCGGAGATGGAACGACTGGTTGGTATAAGCCGTTATACTAACCGTAATAACTTTATTAAAGATTGTATTTTATTTAATGCTATTGTATTCTGCGCTAATTCAGCATAGAGTCAGATTCTTTTTGCACTAATTATAGACGGGTATTTTAAGGAATGTGGTTGTGTTTTAAGAGATTTTTTTTCATTCGGCATGTGAAATTTTTATGAAATATATGTTTTTATCTTGGTAATGAGAACTTTTGTTTCACTTTATACATGTATATACGTCAAGTTAATTACAATACCATAAAGACATAAAACTTGCATGTAAATATAATATTATTATTTAAATGTACGTCTTTACATAATGTTATATTATAATGCTGGAAATTTACAACATCAATGATTTTCATTGACCGTATCTGGCAATTAAAATTCTTATTGCGAAAAATATTACCCCAACCAGGATTCGAACCTGGAACCCCCCTCAATCCGTGACGGGCGTTTTACCAGCTCGACCACTGAAAATTTAATTTACGCGCAAAGTTACATAATACATATGTTATATAGTCGATTAATATTGTATCACGATATGATTATATCGATATCTCATTACTAATAGTGATAGATAAATGAACATAATACATAATTTACTTTAAATTAATATAACTGTGTAAAATGGGCGATTGTATTTTGTCAAACTTATGGATAAAAATGTCTAATTGCAGCTACTACTCTGTTTGCTGTCACCGGCAATTTTCGCCCGGTCGCATAAAACCAAGGATCCTAATGACGAGCCATTTCTACCGATACACCCGGTCTACCCTTACAGCCCGAAGCTAATCAAACGAGCCACCGAGGGAGAGGTAAACTCTCAATTAACGTCGGAGCTGTACGCGCCGAAAGTCGACGCCAAGGACACCTACAGCTCCAGCTACAGCAGCAATTACCAAAGGGATTCTTATTATCCCGACTATAATCCGTATCCTACAAACAACACGTCACAATACGTCTATCCCTACAGCGGCGGGGAGGCGTACGTCTACGCTAGCACGCCGTATCCCGCCTATAACTCGTATCCCGCCCCGTACGCGGTGAATCCGGCGTCTTATCCAGTGCCTTCGTATCCAAACTATTACTACCAGCCGCCCTATTACTACCCTCATTACTTCAGTCACGCTCTGTTCGCACCGCCGCCGGCGCCGCTGCCGTCAGGGGTCGACTACCACGAAGCGTCGCAAGTTCCTATCGAGAACGACAAGCAGGACGCGGACAAAAAGGGCGAAAGAACGAGAGAGGAGCAAACGAGCCAGGACACGCCAGCGAGTCACTTTGTGGACGGCGGAAACTACATAGCCGGCAACTCGCGGGACCTCGACGTTCAATCCAGCACGTACAAAGTGGCCAGCCCGTACAATCAGCTCGCGCAAGACGTTCAAGCGAAGAGTCTGCCGATTCCCTTGCCGAAGACCACATACAGAGTCATCGGCGTAGCAGGGCAACCGGTGAGTCCGGATTATCCAGTGCCCGCTGCGTACATCAAGACTCAGCAGATTGAGCAGATGACAAGCCAAGCGTTGGCTGACCTACTGGCGCAAAACGCGCGACAGCAGTCTAGTCGCTCCTATGAAAATAACAGGGACCCCTCGAACGGTGCCAACGGCGGGTCGTACGAGAACCAGGACGCTTACAGTCCGAACGCGCCGTCGTACGTGACACTTTCAGCCGCGAGGAGCAAAACCGGCGGTGTCACCTACGTGATCGATTCCGTCGGAATCGCCAAAGTCAACGAGGACCAAGCGAAGCATCAAGGCTCGTCGACTCAGAGGGCCCCGAGCAAGAGTGTCAAGTACTCAAACGTTTACGCTCGAAAGCCGGCATCGCGGAATCATCCCCAAACGTCGTATACATCGCAGTCCGAAAATCGTAGCCATCCCCGCGCTCGCGTGAGCAGCGGTGAATCGGCGGGTCAATCTGACAAGTACCGCAGTTACGACGCAACGCAGAGTTACGGCGGCACTTACAGTCAGTCCGGCAACAAGCAAGAACAGAATTACGGAACGTATCAGAGTCAGCCGGGCTCTTATCAGAGCGAGGGTTTTACTGTCGCTCCTCAGACACCTCGATCGCACACTTATCAGTACTCCGCTTACGAGTCGGATCAGGCAGTGCCGCAGCAAGATGAGACCAGCACTGAAGACGGCACTTTTGGAACTAAACAATATAAGGGATAGAATAGCAAGCGCAATCAAACTGAACTGGTGCTGTTATGCATAAGATGTACTGTTCTTTTTCTTGTTATTTTTCTTGTTGTTGAATTGACGCGGCTCCTTTTAGTCCTAGCAAATTAAGTAATTAATTATACAAAATATCTCGGATATCAAGCACTGTTTTTATATTTATTAATGTATTAATTATTTACGAAAATAATAAAGTTAAGAATTTGCGGTTAATTCTTCATGTTTCAATGTTAACTAGGTGGTCACTGTTCTACTTGAAGTCTAAAATTACAAGTAAAAGGTCTACAATTTTTAATTAAAAGATTAGAAGTAAAGTAAAGCCCTTTAGTAATTTACAACTTAATGATATTCATCTATTCTAATGTTAATCATTTTTTTTATTTGACATATCCACAGAAAAATAACAATGAGTAACAAAATATTCTTATACATTTAATTACTTTAATCTACAAAGTTGTGTAAAGTTCAAATTAGACCTTTAAATCGCTTAAATTACCAGTTTAAAATGCAATGTCTCAAATTATAAATAAAACCACTGGTAAAAAGAACATTTAAATGCTTTCGAAGAAAATATCTATAAAAAATTTTGTACGTTGCAATTTTCCATAATATCTTCGTCCGTTCCAGTTTTACTTAGCGGATAAATCGCAGAATTGAATCTCTTTGTAGATTTTGTGTGTTATAAAATTTTCATATTTATATTCTGCGTTACATTCTTTTGTATCTAATGAGAAGATTACGAGTTAAATTAGATCTTTCTTCACATTGCAAAACAGACAAAACGCGCTTACACATTTCTACACTTTCACTCCCTAATTCACTAAGTTAAATAGAATCTGTTCTTAAATTAATATTAGCCGTCTAACATTATTGATAGCTGCAAGTCGAAAAATAAGAACCTTGACAACCTAACAGGCAGGACGTTCCGAGTGATTTACTTTCGCATCAACCGCTAAATGAAAGGCACGCTCATAGGTGTACGAGATTGCTGCTTAATACGATTACTTGTATCATCTCACCGATCTGGCTTGGTACTTTCTTTCTTTCGTACGAGTGGCGAATGTCGCTTTTATGTTACCGCGAAAAAGCGAGCGGGAGATGTTAATCTTTTAAAATTTACGAGACGCGCGAAGGGAATGCAAAACGTGAATCTGTCTTGCAAAAGCGTTTTAGCGCTACTCCTTTTTCTCGGAGTCAAAAGTCGCATTGTCGCGCCTTGGGCCTGATCTGCCGCAATCCAACAATGCGGATCTATTCTTTGCTCTATGACCCATATACGCGTCGATTTTAAATACGCGTTTTGTAGTCACTAATAATAAACGGTCGTTATGCTGCTTTTGACGTTTGCACTCCTTTCTCTTCAGTGTAAGTACCGCGAACCGGTTTCCCTTTTGTGTGTTTATTTTTGTACTTTACTTTCGTTCGATGAGCGACAGCTTCCTGTTTCTTTCTGCCGTGTTCCTTTCAACGTAATTATATACACGTCATCACAAACTGCGATGTACGCGAAAATCTAGCGGATTAAGACGCGGAAATTTATACGGACTAGGCAATTTTAAGGGTTTACCATAGCATTAAGGTAGTAACGCTTTATGCGCCGGATAATTAATGCACGTACAATAGGAAGCTTTTATTTCCTATTTCTATGTATCGGCAATGTTACGAAACAACGATAAATTTTATATCATAGCAAAAAACCTCGGTAACCGATATGATAACCGGCATTGCGTTTTTATTTCTAACTATTGTGATTTTGCGGTTAAAAATTCTTTCTTCACGTATTGAAAAACTCATTGAAAAGGGTTACCTTTAGTAATCGAAACGTCTGACGTTAATTAAATTTTTGTCGATTTTTAACACTCAAAAAGACAAATTGGTGTGTTCTTGTTCATTTCCATCTATGTGAAAACACCTTTAAATATCGTATTAAAAATTTGTCAAAGGCTCTTATCGCCCTTATCTTAACTCACTATTGTTCTTACACCGAGCCTTCATTAACACAATTGTGGATAAATCTTATGTTTATTTTTGAAAACATTGCGCATTTACATAAATTGTTAAATATGAAGCTTCCTTTAGACAATCTACAATTTGCGTATGATTTTAAAATAGAATTCTTTTTGTAATTCTGTATTCTGTATAATTTCACTTATATGCATGCATATTTCAAATTTTTTTACATTCTGATACATATATCTTTCGTATTACACGGTATTTAAAATTATAGAGAAAATAGATTTTAATTTGACTCCGGCACTATACATGAATCTGAATTCAATGAATTATAACTAAGATATAAAGGGACGAATTAAAAACCACTTAAAAATACATTGTTCTCGCCGAGAAGTTTTAGATAATTGTAGAAAGTTAATATATGAAAGAGGCCGATGTAAATTACAGACGCACCGCGACGATGTGACTGCTTTATCTTGAAATTCTACGAGATTATGAGACAGCGCGCCGCATTTCTCCGCCGGCGATGAATCCCCGTCTCTACTAATTAATCCCGCGCTCGCTAATTAATTTCGTTACGGGCCTTTCTGCATGCCGTTGCTCCGCACGCCCTTTTAGCGCGGCGCTAATTGAACACTTAAGATTTTCTCGTACGGTATCGTCTTAACGTGGAATCGCACGGGGTCACGGCGTTGGGAAACGGAAGAGATCCGGATCGCGGCAATATCCGGTTGATCGACCGGACGAGGCGTGCCCGGCCCGCGATGGAAAGCGGAAGCGAAGTCTCGCGATCGGTCTGTCTGAACCAAGTCCGGCATGTCGATAGACCGTGCGAATGAGATAAGAAACTGTTTCCTCTCAAGTTTCACGAGACTTGAACTTGTTTACGCCGCTCATATGGGTATCCGCTCATCCGTATCTTTCTTCAGTTCGTTCTCGTATCTTTCGTCTTGATAAGTTCTTAAATTATAACAAATCTGGAAGTAAAGGGGTCGTAACTCGAGATTGTAAAATATTCCCTCGACTGTGTTTTATTGCGTATCTAAAGTCAGGGAACTAGCGTGTGTCTTCTCTATCCCTTGTAACAGCTGGCTGTACAGATAGAGTTAATGTATTTGACAGAATTGCGTTTCATTTTCGCGGAATGCATTAAGCCTTGGCGCGAATCTTGGCGCGGATATCATGGCAGATGAGTGAGAGCTGCGCTCGGCGCGCCGTTTTACTTTATTTTGTTCATTTCACGTGCGCTCGTGTACACGCCGACGGTCTGAAATAAAATCGGATGGACCAAGCCTGTTACTTTCACGCAGCTCGATCTCAATCGATATACGGCGACCCGAAAGTTCGAGGCGCAAAAGCGCCTCGCCTGTATAAACTTTGAATAAATGAGGCTGCAGCTTTTGGTGACGGTGGTAGAAAGTCCCCGTGTGCGCACACGCATGCGTAAGGACATCCATTATTGTAGCCGTAGCGTTATTTTCTCTTTATGTTTATGAGCCGTCACGCGTCGTGCGAGCCGACAACCGAGCTGTCTGCATTATTCCGATGCCGGGGAACGTTACGTCGAAAAAAATGTTATAACACTCGGATTAATTTATGTAGAAAATGCGTTATTCTTTATTTGGCGATCTTCAGCAATTATGTGCTATTTGCTCTGTTTCCTTGATTCCTGCGAATAGATTGCACGCGGCGCGATGTTTATTTTTACTGCATTTTTTTAACATGCCGATTCAAGCTCGCGTTTTCTCCTCTTCAAATAAATTACCATCATATCGCATCACCATAAAATTTAGTGCTAAAAGATATTAATTCAAGATAAAATTACTGAATACTAAAACACTGAATAAATACTAAACTTGTAGCTAGGTAAAGCAACTGCCGAATTATAAATATTTCAGGAATTATACCCATTTTTAATATTAAAAAGTTGTGTGTAATTTGTGTTCTGCGTAACGGAGAGAGAAACAGATTTCTTTCATTCGTTATTTCACTTTCGGGAGAAATTTTAAGCAGTGATAATAATTTCGACTGATGTAGTTACTTGCAGTGTCTTCGAGATATTGTCAAGAAGAAGGAATATGAAGCATACTTCATTAATTAAGGATTTTCTACCGATTTCCCAGGCGCACTTTATGAGAGAGATACGCATGTAAATGACGATCGTTACTTGCAGATGATGGTCGTATAATCGATCGAGCGAATTTCGAAAGCGAACATGCGGCGGTCAACCCGCGCAAACATAAAAAATTTAACGGATCGCGCAAACGGCAGGTAATCCTTAGGCGCGAACCCGGGCTATGATCGAATTCGAGAAAGTGGCTGGCCGGAAAGGTCGAATATTTGCATTTTTCTTGTCGCCTCGTCGCAATATGAGGAACCACGTTCCGATCGGTCATCAATGTAACGAGTCTAGTTTACTTCCTCGTTTTTCTCCTCCCTTTTGCACGGCAGGCGCCGGCTACGCGGCCGAGAAAGTTTTCTGACTCGAGGTTGCAGGTAATTCGTCTCAAGTGCAGGCCGCGCCGACGATCGTTTGACGCAATAGCAGGCGATCGGTATAAGGTTGTAATCCACACCCATGACCACCGTAGAAAGTCCCGACCCTCCCTCTACTCCTCATCCTCTTCCGCTTTGGCAGGTGGATACACCTGGGTATGTCCGAGGAAAGGGTCGGCCTTTGTGCGGCTTGATAGCGGAACATTTCCACTTCTACAGGGAGAAAGAGAGAGAAAGAGTGAGCAACAAAGAGATTGCGAGTCATTACGAGACCTCCTTTCCATCCTCGCGATCCTTTCCCTTCCGTGACTCCCGACTGCATCGATCACCCATTCCTGCCAGGAGAATCTATGCAAGAAAAGCCGTTCTCCACCCCTTCTCTTTCCGCGGCGCTTCTGCGAGCCGGGGCCCTTTTCCCCATTGTCTGCGACAGAATGGAGCGAACGAGCGATGGGCTTTCCAGTTTAGGAATTTTCAGGAACACCTTGTCACGCGATCGTCGTGATAAGCGCTTGTTCGCCCGGGTGACTTGTCGGTTAACCATTATCGCTCAAATCCGATCGGACGAATGGCAGGTGAAATATTGTTCTGATATACAATGCGACCTTCTGCGTCGTTTTGTATGTAAAAGTGAGCCGTAACCGAGAGCACCTTCTTCAATTATATCGTTTAATACGAGAATGATTTATTGTTAGATCTAATCTTGAAAATTA